AAAACTTTTTCTTTTTTGTACATCCATAAACAAAATGTAATAGTAAGCAATTAAATTTGTTCAGAAACAATAAAAATAAAAACTTCGCGTTCATTATTTTTACTGTTTTTTTTTGCAAGTAATTTGAACTAAAACACGTGTTCAAGGCGACTGTAAAGAAAAACTTACTCTTTCAATATGACGAAAAGTAGTTTCCGAATATACTTCTTTACTATCTAAGCGAAAACCGTCTTCCTTATGATTACTCATCGTCATTGCAACTGTTAAAAGGAGTTCAAGTATCACCACCCGCACTCAAACAAAACAATCACAAACTAACGTGATAAAATTGGTGTAGGATGTGACGGATTTCGAAAAAGAAAATCGCTTTCGATCTGCTGTGAGTACGCTTCTGTCTGCAGCAGCTCTGTCTGTAGCTGTTGTACCTCTTGGGAAGGAAATGGCTTGGAAAAAGTAGATACTCACATACATACATACATAGACACCAACATATATGCATAAATATATACACAAATACATACATACATAGATACATAGACACACACACACACACATGCACACATGTATCTTCAGGCAAATAGCAGATGTGTGTTCATTTTTAACATGTTTACTTTCACGTTATCATCCTTTGCGTACCATGGACATAATACTTGATGAATGGTATAGAAACGAGTTTTTTAGAAGGTCATGGGTTAATTAAAAAAGCAAGTAGCCAATAATGGCAACACACAGACGTGCCCAATAAAACTAGTCGTAAAACTGTTACAGTAGACGAAAAATTCACAATTATTGTGCTGTATGTATAATTTTGTCGTTGTTACATCCATCGTTTTGATTTAATGACGTCCATGAAAATTACTGGTCCCATGATAACACTAAGCAAACATAAAACGCATCTGTTTTGCTATGTACCTAACATTAATTACGCAAATTTGAATACAGAAATTAGTATCGGTACCACCTCACTATAATAGTATAATGGCAATGGTTTCCTTAGGTAGATGAATTACGTTAAGTAAAGGTACAGTGCCGGACTAGAGGTGCGGGGAGATGGCGACAGGCAGGTCTTCCAAATTTTGAAGTCCTTTTTAATGAAATCCCAATTAAGGCCAAAGTTCATTATGTGCAAGAGGTTTTGTCAAACAATTTTTATTCAACGTGGAATGAATTTCACTTACAATATTTAACAATATTACTTTAATAAAAAACTTTTGAGCGCAGTAATAAATAATATAAATCAACAATAATTATGTGCAGATGTGTAACCCTATAGGAGTATAATTATTATGATGCGATGTTACAAAAAAGTTAATTTCAAGCATATAAAAGATACATTGATATTAACATTATAATTATTTAATTATTAATTAACACAACGGGGACGATAATAATAAAAAAGAAATCGAGTATGTTCATGCAATTAATTATTAAATTATTCGGAATCGGTATAAGTGGTTTTCATAACATATTTAACAGTAAAGGCGAATGCGGCGAAACCAATTAAAACAATTATGTTTGTAAGACACGCTTGAAAACTGCTAGGCTCTGTAGAATCCTGACGCTGATTTTGGCAATCGTTCGCCTTCTGATTCGTACTACGTTTAACTATTTCTGCCTGCAAAATAAAATAAAAAAAAACATTATCCAATATCAATATTGATGGGTAGATACTTCTCGAAAATCTTTTACCTGTATTTCGGTAACTATTTCGGGAAATAGCTCGCAAAACTGTTTATTTTTCAAATTAAATTCTAGCGACTGGTAAGCTAATTGACGTTTATCATAATCTGTTGTCTCAATACTGCCCAGTGTGGGTACTTTCTCAATCTGAAATTTAATATAATACCAGTTGATGTGGATGATTCAGAAAGTACTTGGTAAACATTGTTTAAATATCTACATAAGTACCTACAGCTAATAAAAAAAACTCTTTTTGCTCTTTAAATCTTTAAAAATTAAAAGTATTTACAATAATTAATAGGTACTCTGTTCAATACAATTAATTAATTTCATCTAAAAACAGACATATTTACAATTTATTGCAATAACAATATGGAAAATAAGTATGCAACTCAGCATAGTAATTAAACAGTAAAATAATAATAAACAGTGAAAGTTTCTTACCATGAAGCTAAGTAAACCAGTCAAAATTGTAGAAACACTCCATGCTGGGTTCCATGTATCCGGATGGAAATCTGATATACTTAAACAAAGTCTGGTGTTTGTTTTAAATCTACCACTGGGGGTGATCATGTAAATTGATGGAGGCTGGAAAGGAAACTCGCGGGGGAAAATTAATTTTCCATGATAGTAACCCCCCTCGTACGGTGTTTTTTCGGGGCCGCAAACAACATAATGCCTTACAAAAAAACAACCATTTTAAATCGGTAATATAAAATCGTAAAAAACTACTTAGTTAATGCATACGAAAGGCCTTTATCAGTACGAAAAATTATCTTATTTTGGAAATTAGCCTTACCACTCCAATATATTACTGGGGAGGGGTTCGGCGGTTACATAGGGAACAGGGTCCTTCTTGAGCCTTAAATAATCCTGCTTCAATCTGGCTGTTGCACTGTTATGTTTCCTGTTAGACATTGTAAAATTTGTACATTCACAAAACAGTAACAATTCTCTACCATCACATACTCAAACGAATTTGTTTATTATGTGTGTAAAAAACGTTTAATTTTAAGACGCCTCTTCAGATAAATAAATGCTGAAATATAACTATTAGAGTTTCAGTAGATAAACGTCAAATAAGAATATGACATCAATATGAGAAAAAAATAACGTTAACAAAACTAAAACTCATAGACTAATACTTAAACATTAAAAATGTAATATTACTACATTTTGTAATTGACTGTTATTTTACCAAAGCCTTTCAGTGCTACCACCATTAATTTTTAAACAAATAATTCTGCGAAATTTAACAACTGAAAACCTTTATTTATGCAAGAAACATNAAGGATGGTACTATAGAATGTCACCTCAAGGTAGGCCTAGTGGCGTCATCTCTTGGTTAGGCCGGAAACTTATCAATCCACCCTCGTAGATATAAGCGCAACGGAAACTAGGTCGGAAGCTCGAAAATATCTCTGGTCTTATCATTCATTTCGTGAACCACGTCGATGTGTTTTATTAATAATAAAAATGCAATAGATAGTAAGTAAAGTAGGTATGTATATACGTGTGTAATACCTTTAGAGACGGCTCTGATATAGGATTGCCCCAAATATAAAACAAACGCATCGGGTAAGGTTTCTTAATAGAGTTCAGAATGTCCAACATGCCACGATTTTCTATTTTGTTAAAAGTTATGTCCAGCAGTTTTACTTTTGAAAACGGCAGTCCGAAACTCAGGGCTCTAAATAAATTAACGTTATGGAAGATTTAAATCGAATTTAACAAAGGGGTAGGTCACCTGGCTCCCGTATTCTTAATTCCGCTTCCTGCAACATTTAATCCGACAAGCGCCGGTTTTTCTTTCAACCAATTAGCTAACAATTCTATTCCGTGGTCTCCGAATCGATTGAACCCAATGTCTAACAGCAAAAGCGTATTATTTTTGCTCATTCCGATCAACATTAGTTCTATATCGTGTCCATCTAATTCGTTTTTTTGTGCGTGAAGTTCGAGAAGTGTAGGGGTTACTTTTAGCATGTCGCCCAAATTTTCGGCTAGATGTGCTGAATCTAACTGATAACTTTTGCAGGTGCATATTAATCGAGAAAAATCTATTATTCTAAGTGTCTTGTTTACGCCTCTGTCGTGACGAATAACTCCCATAATGTGCATGAATCCTCCTAAATTCATGTCGGTATCGCCCAAGTCGACGTATTCCAAACTGCTGGTTTTTTCTAACATTTTTGAAACGTACATGCCACCCTACAACAATTATATTCAATCTTGCGGTTGCCGTTGCCTTATGAGATCATTTTCAACAGCACGGTTCCTGTTCTTATTAGGTTTTAAAATAACAAAGCACATCAGCAAATTAAAATTCAATGTTTATCGAGATCCCACTTTAATTTATAAAGTTTTAAGTTTAAAGCAAAACAACCAAGTTAAAAAAAATCTTATATACAACGATTGCAGTCGATATAAATTTGTATTCTAGTTTTATCGTTAGTAATGCCGAACTTTTGAAAATGATTTCGTAAGATCGAAACAATTGTCGAGTGATACAAATGAGTGGTTTCTTATATTTTATGTGTCTGTAAAGATTACTTTATTTTACGTTTGCCGTGTTAGGTACCTGTCCGCCAATTTTATTTCCCCCTAATCTTAAACTTTTCAGCTTTAAAGTCGAGGCCATACAACAAATGCGAGCAACTCCCACGTATCCGATATTGTTTCCGACTAAATTCAAATGCAACAAATTGTTTTCGAAGGATAAATACTCTTCTACAAAGACGTGCATTCCGTCATCGCCAATTTCGTTGTAACACAAATCCAGTTTGATCACTTCCGGATATTTACGCAAAAATTGAGTGATATTGTACATGTCTCCATCTCCAATACGTTTTCTATCGTATGTATATATATATATATATTACAGCTAATGGACAAAAACCAGCTAATTCGGGTAACAGCCGGTTAATATTCGTTCATCTCATGAAGGATAAATAGTTATTAACTTACGGTGCCTCCTCCCCCTTAAATAAACCTTTTTATAATTCTAAATGTGAAGTCCATATCTCTTACAAGTCATTGACAGGCGAACAAATTACTCTGACTAAGTTTCAAATCAAGGGAACATTCCAAACTATTACAAAAATTAAAATAAAATGAAAATAATTGTAAAAAGCGCGTTTTAACCGGCCGTTGTACCAATTATCCATTTTCTGCCTATTTAGTCGTATATAAACTAAACTTATACACATGCCCTAATCAAAATGACTATTAACATTACATTACATATTACGTAAATAGATACCCGGTTCTTTGAAACAGATCTCTACCCTTTAGGCGCAAAACCCTTGTACCATCGGAATTTTTTTCACAAAACAACAGCATAAAAAGTTCTGTTAACTTTTCTCCAAACATTTTCGATTTTTATTACCAAGCGAATGTCATCAGTGACAGCAATTACATGTGTACGGTCGAATTAAAAAATGAAGTTAATGTTTTTTTAACCATTTGTTATTTAAAATGTTCATTAATTTGTAAAATCAAAGTTTCCATTTTTTTATTATTTACAATCAAACCTGAACAGTTATAGCATAATAATGCAGTAGTTGGGCTCTGATTCCTTACTAAAATCCAAACTAGTGGAAGAATTAGAAAATCATTTTTAAAATTACAAACATTTAATTGTTTCTCCCAAATGAACGAATATAATTTTATTGTTATACTTACTTATCTTTTCGGTTATCCTTTTGAAGAAATATAGGTACTTTATGGAGAATTAAAAATTGATAACGAAAAAAAAAAGAAATCAAAATTTAAATACCCTTTATTTTTCAACAATTTACAGCATCAGTCCTTGTTTTATTTTCCTTTCGCTAGTAAATAAAATTAATAGACTAGTTTACAACGTAACATACGAATCATCGAACAATACCGATTTATATGAGCAAGCTAATTAATAGTAATAGTAATAATTATCGTGTATCCAATTTAAGGCCTTCTTGATGTTACTCAAACTAGTCCGTGACAAAAAAGTTGAAAGTAACAAATACTCTGGATAAGTTCTGCGCCCTCTGTTGTTTTTTTGATGATCTTTTGTTAATTCTCTTATTTCATCCACATTTCCCACGACCACATCCGACTTTGAACTTGTGTCTATGCCGTTAACTCGTCGTCCTTCGCACAAAATTTTAGTTGCCAAACTGAGCAACCATTGAATTATCTATTAAAAGAAAAAAATGGAAAACTAAGTTGATTTTATTTAATATCAAAAGTGACGAAAGAAATTACCTCTGTACGTGTTGGTAATTTGGACATTCCGGGACTCAGCCAGGAACTGGGTGCCCACAATTTCAATTGCATAATCGTGGCTGCAGTTTCGGGATCGAGTCGCTGAAAAATCAAAAATAAAATTAATTCGACAAAGGAGACGTGAAAATCTGGGTAGGCATAAAATACCTTTTTTGGATTACGCTTTAAGATGTTTCCAACCAAAAATTTAACAATTTCGGGAACATCATCCGGTAATTCGGGCAACTGATCTTCTTTGTAATCGGTACTTTTTAATCTACTCCATCGGGGACCATCGTAAAACGGATTGGTCATGCCAAAAATTTCGTAGGCGATTGCTCCCGAAGCCCACAGATCAGATTTGGTGTAATTAAGGGTGGCGAATGAGCCTGGTGTTTTATTAACGATCTCCGGTGCCATCAAAGCAACGTTACCACCTGAAAAAAAAAAGCAAAAGCGGAAACTTACCTAAGTACATTTCTATGCCTTCTTTTATTTTTATATTTACAGATTTAAAAATCCTTACCTTTGTCAATTTCGTAACTGGTATAGGGCAAAAGTAGACCTGTAGACTTATCAGCCAAGCAACAACCAAAATCCGTTATTACCAATACTGGTACGTTTTGTTCGGAAGTGTCCAAAAGCAAATTGTCACTTTTTAAATCGCGATGGGCTATCTCGTGTCGAAACATATGAGTAACGCCTTCTAACAGTTGGCAAAAAAGTAACAGACGAATTCTCATTGAAGGATTCTCGCTAATTAGGTACTTTTCCAAACTCATATTATACCTATTTTATTAAAATGAAAACATTTAAAAGATATATTCTCACTGTAATATAAACATTGTAACACGATACCTTTTCATGACGATAAACAAAGACATATTACGTCCATCACCGTCCGGATACAATCTTGTAGGTAATGCGTTAGGAAATAAAGTTTTCGCGGCCTTTAAAGAACTAATGGTAGGTATGTTGTCAGCAAAAGCTCGATACATTGCTATAATATTTGGATGAGGAGGCAGAAACTTCGTATTCTTTGCTGCGCTGAAAAATAAAGACCAAAATAATAATAATAATAATGCTAACATAAAAACAATTTGAAAAAACGCACTGGGATGCTTCATTACAAGTTTTTCGGACCGGAACGATTTCCTTAGACATTGCCCTCAGTATCGTTCCTGCATCGGATCTAACATCGTAATTGAACATCATTTTTAGAGCTAGAGGATACTCAATCATCGAGTCTTCTTCTTCTTCGCTACCTTCGGTGTTTGGAATTTGCGAATCGTTTCTTAATTTTGCCGCATATACTACAGCGTTTGCCCCTTTATCAAGTGGTACCCCGATTTCTAAATTGTTCAATGTGACAGCTGTCTCCTCTACCTCAGTTTCGTTAATATTCGTGTCATCGTTGTTCCATTTTATTTTTGAGATGGCTTCCTAAGAGAATGTTAGAAAAAATATATATAATGGAAAAATACGAAAAAATAAAATTATTTACTCGAATTTCCCAACAGATGCCTTCTAGTTCTTCTTCTTTTGTCAGGATTCCCGATCCTGACGCCAAACTCACCCCAACCAGTGCAAAAAAGGGACCCGAATCTCCAAAAAATATCCTAAGACAATTAATTACATCAAAGGAAAAACTGACAATGGAAATATTTTAAATATAT